TTAAAAATGAATAGCTTAAATGTCTTGAGTGAATTAGTATTCAACCCCTTTGTTATGGCAAGCCTAAATAACAAGTCACATAATAAGTTGCATGGACCCACTCTGTGTGCAATAATAGTGTTTAACATGATTTTCTACCTCATCTCTGTACCTCACACATATAATTATCTGTAAGGTCCCTCGGTCGAGCAGTGAATTTCAAACACAGATTCAACAACAAAGACCAGGGAGGTTTTCCAACGCCTCACAAAAGAAGGGCACCTATTGGTAGACGGGTAAAAAATAAAAAAAGGAGACACTGATCCCTTTGAGCATGGTGAAGTTATTATTTACACTTTGGATGGTGTGTCAATAGACCCACTCACTACAAAGATACAGGCGTCCTTCCTAACTCAGTTACTAGAGAGGAAGCAAACCGCTCAGGGATTTCAACATGAGGCCAATGGTGATTTTAAAACAGTTTGAGTTAAATGGCTGTGATAGAAGAAAACTGAGTATGGATCAACAACATTGTAGTTACTCCACAATACTAACCTTATTGACAGAGAAAATAAGGTAGCCTGTACAGAATACAAATATTCCAAAACAAGCATCCTGTTTGCAATAAGGCACTAAAGTAAAACAGCAAAGAATGTGGGAAAGAATTTAACTTTTTGTCCTGAATACAAAGCATTATACAGTGGTGTAAAGTACTTAAGTAAAAATACTTTAAAGTACTACTTAAGTAGATTTTGGGGGGTATCTGTACTTTACTATTTATATTTTTTACTACTTTTACTTCACTACATTCCTTAAGAAAATATTGTACTTTTTACTCCATACATTTTCCTTGACACCCAAAAGTACTCGATACAATTTGAATGCTTAGCAGGACAGGAAAATGGTCCAATTCACGCACTTATCAACAGAACATCCCTAGTCATCCCTACTGCCTCTGATCTGGCGGACTCACTAAACACACATGCTTCGTTTGTAAATTATGTCTGAATGTTGGAGTGTGCCTCTGGCTATCCATAAATGTTTTTTTAATGATGCCGTCTGCTTTGCTTAATATAAGGAATTTTAATTGATTTATACTTTTACTTAAGTATATTTTAGTAATTATATTTACTTTTGATACTTAAGTATATTTTAAACCAAATACTTATAGACTTTTAATTTTACTGGGTGACTTTTACTTGAGTCATTTTCTATTAAAGTATCTTTACTTTTACTCAAGTATGACAATTGGGTACTTTTTCCACCACTGGCATTATGTTTGAGGCAAATCCAACACATCACTGAGTACCACTCTTAATATTTTGAAGCATTGTGGTGGCTGCATTATGTTATGGGTATGCTTGTCATCGGCAAGGACTACAGAGTTTTTTTTGTGATAACAACAAAACACAATAGAGCTAAGCACAGGCAAAATCCTAGAGGAAAATCTGGATCAGTCTGCTTTCCAACAGACACTGGGAGACAAATCGACCTTTCTGCTGGACAATAACCTAAAATACAAGGCCAAATATACACTGGTTGCTTACCAAGACAACATTGAATGTTCCCGAGTGGCCTAGCTACAGTTTTGACATAAATCTGCTTGAAAATCTATGGCAAGACTTGAAAATGGCTGTCAAACAATGATCAACAACCAACTTGACAGAGCTTGAAGAATTTTTCTAAGAATAATGTGCAAATATTATACAATCCAGGTGTGCAAAGCTCTTAAGATACTTACCCAGAAAGACTCACAGCTGTAAACACTGCACAAGGTTATTCTAACATGTATTGACCCAGGGGTGTGAATATTTCTGTAAATTAGATATTTCTGTATTTCATTTTCAATAAATCTGAAAACATTTCTTAATGCATGTTTTCACTGTCATTACGGGCTATTGTTTGTAGATGGTAGGGGGGGAAAAATCAATGTAATCCATTTTTAAATCAGGCTGTAACACAAAATGTGGAATAAGTCAAGGGGTATGAATACTGTCTGAAGGCATTGTAGGTGGAATCTGAGACTACAAGGTACACATGATACAAAAAAAGAAAAGTGGTACAACACATGGTCACTGACCTTTTGTATGTTTTGTTTTTGACAGTATAGTCGTGGTCAAAAGTTTTGAGAATGACACAAGTATTGGTCTTCACAAAGTTCGCTGCTTCAGTGTTATGAAATATTTTTGTCAGATGTTGCTATGGTATACTGAAGTATAATTACAAACATTCCATAAGTGTCAAAAGCTTTTATTGACAATTACATTACGTTTATGCAAAGAGTCAATATTTGCAGTGTTGACCCTTCTTTTTCAAGACCTCTGCAATCTGCCCTGGCATGCTGTCAATTAACTTCTGGGCCACATCCTGACTGATGGCAGCTCATTCTTGCATAATCAATGCTTGGAGTTTGTCAGAATATGTGGGTTTTTGTTTGTCCACCCGCCTCGAGGATCCAATGGGATTAAGGTCTGGGGAAGTTTCCTGGCCATGGACCCAAAATGTCGATGTTTTGTTCCCCGAGCCACTTAGTTATCACTTTTGCCTTATGGCAAAGTGCTCCATCATGCTGGAAAAGGCATTGGTCGTCACCAAACTGTTCTTGGATGGTTGGGAGAAGTTGCTCTCAGAGGATGTGTTGGTACCATTCTTTATTCATGGCTGTGTTCTTAGGCAAAATTGTGAGTGAGCCCACTCCCTTGGCTGAGAAGCAACCCCACACATGAATGGTCTCAGGATGCTTTACTGTTGGCATGACACAGGACTTATGGCCTGTGTCATGGCCATCCTGCAAAAGTATTCGCCTCACTGTGCGTGCAGATGCACTCACACCTGCCTGCTGCCATTCCTGAGCAACCTCTGCACTGGTGGTGCCCCTATCCTGCAGCTGAATCAACTTTAGGAAACAGTCCTGGCACTTGCTGGACTTTCTTGGGCGCCCTGACGCCTTCTTCACAACAATTGAACCTCTCTCCTTGAAGTTCTTGATGATCCGATAAATGGTTGATTTAGGTGCAATCTTACTAGCAGCAATATCCTTGCCTGTGAAGCCCTTTTTGTGCAAAGCAATGATGACGGCACTTGTTTCCTTGCAGGTAACCATGGTTAACAGAGGAAGAACAATGATTTCAAGCACCACCCTCCTTTTAAAGCTTCCAGTCTGTTATTCTAACTCAATCAGCTTGACAGAGTGATCTCCAGCCTTGTCCTCGTCAACACTCACCTGTGTTAACGAGAGAATCACTGACATGATGGCAGCTGGTCCTTTTGTGGCAGGGCTGAAATGCAGTGGAAATGTTTTTGGGGGATTAAGTTAATTTTCATGGCAAAGAGGGACTTTGCAATTAGTTGCAATTCATCTGATCACTCTTCATGACATTCTGGAGTATATGCAAATTGCCATCATCAAAACTGAGGCAGCAGACTTTGTGAAAATTAGTATTTGTGTCATTCTCAAAACTTTTGACCACGACTGTACACAACATGTCAGAGTTTTCCCATTATGTTCAGTACCAGTCAAAAGTTTGGACACACCTACTCAATCAAGGGTTTTTCTTTATTTGTTACTATTTTTTAGAATAATAGTGAAGACGTCAGAACTATGAAATAACACATATGGAATAATGTAGTAACCAAGAGAGTGTTAAACGAATCAAAATATATTTTATATTTGAGATTCTTCAAAGTAGCCACCCTTTGCCTTGATGACAGCTTTGCACACTCTTGGCATTCTCTCAACCAGCTTCATGAGGAATGCTTTTCCAATAGTCTTGAAGGAGTTCCCACATATGCTGAGCACTTGTTGGCAGCTTTTCCTTCACTCTGCAGTCCAACTCATCCCAAACCATCTCAATTGGGTTGAGGTCGGGGGATTGTGGAGGCCAGGTCATCTGATGCAGCACTCCATCACTCTCCTTCTTGGTCAAATAGCCCTTACACAGCCTGGTGTGTTGGGTCATTGTCCTGTTGAAAAACAAATTATAGTCCCACTAAGCCCAAACCAGATGGGATGGCGTATCGCTGCAGAATGCTGTGGTAGCCATGCTGGTTAAGTATGCCTTGAATTCTAAATAAATCACAGTATCACCAGCAAAGCACCCCCACACCTCCTCCTCCATGCTTCACGGTGGGGACCACACATGCGGAGATCATCCGTTCACCTACCCTGCGTCTCACAAAGACACGCCGGTTGGAACAAAAAATCTCACATTTGGACTCATCAGACCAAAGGACAGATTTCCACCGGTCTAATGTCCATTGCTCGTGTTTCTTGGCCCAAGCAAGTTTCTTCTTATTGGTGTCCTTTAGTAGTGGTTTCTTTGCAGCAATTTGACCATGAAGGCCTGATTCACGCAGTCTCCTCTGAACAGTTGATGTTGAGATGTGTCTGTTACTTGAACTCTGTGAAGCATTTATTTGGGCTGCAATCTGAGGTGCAGTTAACTCTAATGAAGTTATCCTCTGCAGCAGAGGTAACTCTGGGTCTTCCTTTCCTGTGGCGGTCCTCATGAGAGCTAGTTTCATCATAGCGCTTGATGGTTTTTGCGACTGCACTTGAAAAAACTATCAAAGTTATTGAAATTTTCCAGATTGACTGATCTTAATGTCTTAAAGTAATGATGGACTGTCGCTTCTCTTTGCTTATTTGAGCTGTTCTTGCCATAATATGGATTTGGTCTTTTACCAAATAGGGCTATCTTCTGTATACCCACCCACCCACAATACCTTGTCACAACACAACTGATTGGCTCAAACGCATTAAGGAAAGAAATTCCACAAATTAACTTTTAATAAGGCACACCTGTTAATTGCAATGCATTCCAGGTGACTACCTCATGAAGCTGGTTGAGAGAATGTCAAGAGTGTGCAAAGCTGTCATCAAGGCAAAGGGTGGCTACTTGGAAGAATCTCAAATATAAAATATATTTTGATTTGTTTAACACTTTTTTGTTACTACATGATTCCATGTGTTATTTCATCGTTTTGATGTTTTCACTATTATTCTACAATGTAAAAATAAAGAAAAACCCTTGAATGAGTAGGTGAGGGTGAATCTTTCAAATAGTTCAAATTATAAATTGAACTTGGTACAATCTCCAATTAAACTTGAATGGACAATGATGTAACTGAAATGAATTTAGACATCACATCTCCATTTATCACCAAAGCCCAGGGACCTTGTTCCACTCTATCATTTCCTAGAGAAACTCTAAGTCTGCCTCTTTAAGTAAGACTACCATTTTGCCAGTGGCAGGTTCCCTGTAGTGATGAACTGGCACTCAGAAGATACCCGTTGGTAACTCCTTACTGAACATTCCATCCAGATCCAGTTCCCTGCTCATTAGCTCCTCCTCAACACCCTCCAGTGCCCACTGGTGGTCAGTTAGCTCAAGTGCCTCCCATTCTGCCTAAAAAGGAGACAAACAACTGTCTGTCAGGTGATAATGCTGGGACCTGTATGAATTTAATTCACCATTGATGCAATCAAGAGTAGAGAACTATACCTTGAAGGCTTTGTTGGTGTCTGCAGGCATGGCCATGGCAGCACCACTCATCTGCTCTTGCATGATCCTGGACTGATCTGCACCTGTGTGGTTTACAGTACATCAGCATCAACACCAATTACTTCATAATCCCCTTGGAGTAACAAAACGAGGACTGTGAAGAATTGGAGGCTTGCCACTTAAACATGGTTGACATAATGGAGTCATGTTCCATTTATAAGCAATGTTGCTGCTGATATGACACTGAAGGGTTGCATACCGGCCCATTATCTCTTCAAGGCACAGACCGCTTGGCTACTAGAAGTCTAATTTCTCTCAGTGATTTGTTGTTTTCCCAAATCAGGTCAATTTAATGACCTTCTGTATATTGCTTTTGATAACAAGTACTGTTGTAAGTAGGTGACAAACTATGATTAAATAATGTCACATCTAGTTTACAGAAACACATTTATCAATAACATTTGCAGGAAATACAAAACTGAATCATGAAGTTGGATGAGTGGATGAAAGATTACCATTATCTTGTCCTAGAATTAAGGAGTACATGCTTCGCAGCCCAAACACATTCAGAAAATACCACGACGCTGAACTCACCCTGAAAACAGAAACGAGGATGAGGTTATAATTCATCAATGTTTACACTAGCAAAAGGACTCAGAGGAAGTATATAATATTAACTTCACAGAACTCATGTAATAAGTATCTATTTCATCAACTAACCAGGAAGCATCAAGTGAAAGTAGCTCGATTCCTTGTTGCAACATGGGCTTGAAGCGCAGGGTGAGAGGAAAAGGAACCTTGGCTGTGAGGAACAAGAAAAGGGTTGTTGAGAAAATTGTAACTCAAATAATTTGGCTAGTACAAGCCTACTACCAAATATAAGTAGGATCAAGTTTTGAAGTTGACATAAAACCAGTCTGTGCAAATATGACTTAACTGCTTATAGCTAAGACACTGAATGGAAGCACTTCATTTTACACTACTGTTATTTATAGGTTATTTCAATGTAATAACAATTTTACCATGCCATTTCTTAGTAAATATCTGGTTATTTATGTACCATTAAATAAACTGCAATCGAAGCTCTAGTAGTGACAATCATTATCAAGTTTTAATGTCACGTGCACAAGTACAGTGAAATGCCTTTCATGCAAGCTCCAAACCCAACAATGCAGTAATCAATATTAATGTAGCCCTAAAAATAACATAAGGTAGAACAAAAACATTTAAAAAATATGAAGAACACGAGAAAGTAAGAAGCTATATACAGGGTCAGTTCCAATACCATATTTACAATGCAGGGATACTGGAGTGAGAGGTACAGTTGAAGTCGGAAGTTTACATACACCTTAGCCAAATACATTTAAACTCAGTTTTTCACAATTCCTGACATTTAATCCTAGTAAACATTCCCTGTCTTAGGTCAGTTAGGATCACCACTTTATTTTAAGAATGTGAAATGTCAGAATAATAGTAGAGAGTGATTTATTTCAGCTTTTTTTTCTTTCATCACATTCCCAGTGGGTCAGAAGTTTACATACACTCAATTAGTATTTGTTAGCATTGCCTTTAAATTGTTTAACTTGAGTCAAACGTTTTGCGTAGCCTTCCACAAGCTTCCCACAATAAATTGGCAGAGCTGGTGTAACTGAGTCAGGTTTGTAGGCCTCTTTGCTCACACATGCTTTTCCAGTTCTGCCAACAAATTGCAGTGTGCGTGAGAGTGTAGAGTCCTGTGAGTGTACAAAATAAAATACAAGGGTCAACTCAGAGAGTCTGTGTAGCCATTCTGTTAGCTATTTAGCAGTCTTATGGGTTGGGGATAGATGCATTGGCACTGCTTGCTGTGCGGAAGCAGAGAGAACAGTCTATGGTTTGGGTGGCTGGAGTCTTTTCCGGGCCTTCCTTTCACACCGCCTGATAGAGGTCCTGGATGACTGGGAGCCATACCAAGCAGTGACGCAGCTAGTCAAGATGCTCTCAATGGTGCAGTTGTAGAACTTTGAGGATTTCAGGGCCCATGCCAAACCTTTTCAACCTCCTGAGGGGGAAGAGGCGCTATCGCACCTTCTTCACAACTGTGCGCGTTTGATTGGACCATTTTAAGTCCTTAGTGATTAGGACACCAAGGAACGTGAAGCTCTCGACCCACTTCACTACAGCCCTGTTGATATGGATGGGGGAATGCCCCCCCTGCTCTGAGACCTAGAAGTAGTTGTTTCCCTTGCTCTGCAAGGGCCGCGGCTTTTGTGGAGCGACGGGTAACGGTGCTTTGAGGGTGACTGTTGTCGATGTGTGCAGAGGGTCCCTGGTTCAAGCCCAGGTAGGGGCGAGGAGAGGGACAGAAGCAACACCGTTACACTTGGTCTTAATTACGTTGAGGGAGAGGTTGTTGTCCCGGCACCACACTGCTAGGTCACTGACTTCCTCCCTGTAGGCTGTCTCATCGTCGCCAGTGATCAGGCCTACCACCGTTGTGTCGTCAGCAAACTTGATGATAGTGATGGAGTCGTGCGTGGCCAGGCAGTTGTGGATGAACAGGGAGTGGGGCCCCTGTGTTGAGGGCCAGCGTGGCGGAGGTGTTGCCTACGCTCACCACCTGGGGTCGGCCCGTATGGAAGTCCAGGATCCAGTTGCTGAGGGAGGTGTTCAGTCCCAGGGTCCTAAGATAGGTGACAAGCTTGGAGTGGACAATGGTGTTGAACGCTGAGCTGTAGTCAATTAACAGCATTCTCACATTGGTATTCTTCTTATGTAGGTGGGTGAGGGAAGTGTGGAGTGCAATTGAGATTGCGTCGTCTATGGATCTGTTGGAGCGGTATGCAAATTGGAGTGGGTCTAGGGTGTCTGGGATGATGGAGTTGATGTGTGCCATAACCAGCCTTTCAAAGCACTTTATGATTACAGATGTGAGTGCTGCGGGGCGGTAGTCATTGTGGCATGAAGCCTTAAGAGTTCTTGGGAACAGGAATGATGGCAGTCATCTTAAGACATGTGGGCTTTACAGACTGAGACAAGGACAGGTTGAAAATTACTGTGAATATGCCTGCCAGCTCATCTGCGCATGCTCTGAGAAGGCACCCTGGAAAACCGTCCGGCCTTGCGAGTGTTGACTAGATTACAGACCTTACACACATCTGCCTCGGAGAGCGAGATCACCCAGTCCCCTGGGTCGGTGGGGGCCCTCGCGCACGGTATGGTGTTCTTATTATTGAATCGTGCATAAAATGCATTGGGTTAATCTGGTAGAGGCATCGTTGGGCAGATCACAGCTGGGTTTTCCTTTGTAATCCATAATTGACTGTAGCCCCTGCCACATGCGGCAGGCGTCGGAGCCTGTGTAATATGATTCCACCTTATTCCTCCTTTGATGACTCTGCGGAGGTCATTGCGGGACTTCTTGTACTTGTTCCTGTCCTCAGCCGTAGCCTCAGCCGTATGCGATAGCCCTGTGTGGTAGCCATGTCCTTTAGTTTAGCGCCAACCTCTGTTTTAATCCAGGCCTTTTGATTGGGGAAGCGGTGAACCTTCACTGGGGGGGACAACGTCGCCGACGTATTTCCTTATAGAGCAGGCGACGAAGGTCATTCGCACGTCAATGTTATCCAAACAACCCAGTCTCAGTGCAGTGAGCGAGCGAGGAGGACATTACTTACTTGTGACAAACCCTGAGAAGGTCCAATTGATCCAGCCTCCGATGAGGATCATGGGAAGTACATTGGTCACGTTGCCTTTCATCATGTCTGTCAGCATGCTGGGGTCTGGACAAAGAAACAGTTAGTGTAGCTCTACAGAGTGCATTCCCAAAAAAGGGGAGTTGTGATACATTTATTGGTGCACTATCATTCAGAAGTAATATGCTCCTTATCATGTGTCAGGGTATAACGTAGAGATACACGGCTCAATACCGTCTTATCATGGTATGAGAATAGGATTTTGTAAGTAAGTATGATGTGATTCTGTTATGCTCACCTGTCATTGGGGAGGGAGGAACAACCTTTCTTTTGGTCTTTTTGAAGAAGCCATCTTCTTGATTATTGAAGTAAAACTTCCTCATCAAGAAAGACTGAAGAAAATGAGGTGTCTCAAAATCTGAGCGCAACTAGCCAACAATTGTATTTTTATGTTTACTGTACAAAGAAGTTAAGATAGCCAAGTGGCGTTTTAAGGTCTTTCCAACATTGATCTCACCTGTTTCGGAATGTACTTCCCATTTTCTCTGAGGATTCTGCTCCTGATAAGAACCTGGCTGAATATTGGAAAGGTATAATTCAAAACAAACTCATAGCAAAATATGCTCACTAGCCCTTTTATGAACTGTCAATGCACAGTCTGTCTCGGGCAGGACTCTCCAACCCTGTTCCTGTAGGTTTTTGCTCCAACACTAATCTAGCGCACCTGCTTTTAATAATTAGTTGGTTGATAAACTTAGTCAGGTTAGTTACCACTGGGGTTGGATTGAAAACCTACAGGAGGGTAGCTCTCCAGGAACAGGGTTGGAGAGCCCTGGTCTATGGCTACATGCTCCCAAGACCCTTACCTGTCTGACACCTGCTCTAATGTCAGCTTCTTGTCACTCTGAAGCAGAATGGAGACATAATGTCGAATCACCCCAACAAGGAACGTGATAAAGACGATGGGCAAGACCACCCAAAGTCTGATATTGGAGTCCAGCAGAAGCTCCGGCTCATCCATGTCTAGCAAAGTGATAAAGACTTAGAACAAGTGTAAGAGCAGGCATCATATGAATAACTTCAGATATGTCTAAATCTTAAATGGAACATAGCTATTATCAGCAGCAACATGTTTCGAGAGAACTGGTGAATGCATTGCACAAGTATTTTGGCATCTAACAAACTGGACAGTGCAGCTGCAATTTACTCCCGTCACCCAAGGTCGCTAGCTAGCTTGCGAACAATAATAGCATTTTTTAAATTTGCTACTGTAGTTAGCTAATTCACTGGCACAACTGTTAGCTGTCTCAAAACACCTGCCAATATGACTGTCAATTTGGGCGTATAGCTACATGTGAATGAACAACTAGTTAACTAACTATAGCTTACTGTTACCACATAGTTGTTAAACATAGCTAACTTACTTAACAATCTTTGCTGTTACCATCATCTTGCCAGTTGATAAAAACAGAGAATAGCTAACTGTTAGCTAGCTAAATGCTGCTGGGAAGAGCTGGCTAGTTTGCCGAGAGAGGATGATGAGGAAGTGAAGGATGTTATCTAGCTATAACGTTAGCTAATAATACATTATTTAAATTGTTAGAAAACTAAACGCTGCAGTGTTTGATGTTTATCTTACCCAAGGTAGTCCGTGTGACAAAAGACGTGTGTCGTGGTTACAGACCTCAGGCGATACTATGCTAATTTAAAGTAATGCAGATTATTTGCTTTGTCGAGCTGCATCAGCAGCCATGGTAATTAGAGACGGTAATGCACGGTAAGCATCGACAAAGCAAAGGACATGGACAATGCATTTCAAAAGTGAGTGAGGGGCAAATATAGTGCCACCTGGCGTTGATGGCTGAAATATCAGTCTGAACGGCTAATCAATAAATGTATATTGTCCGTTTATTTACCATAAAATATCGATGATTCACCCAATAAATCAATGCATCTAGCTGAACAGATTATTTTCACTGGATCAATGATTGCTGTCTAACAGTGTAGCAATAATTAATTTCTCTCGCCTCGCACATCTCCGAGTCCCAGACAGTTCCATGCCATGGTTCCATTTGTTAGGTAGGAGTCGCCACCTGCTGATAGCGGGCGCTAACACAATTTCCCAAAACAGAGAAAATGGCCGGTCAAGATGATCCTGTGCAGAGGGAGATCCACCAAGACTGGGCAAATCGTGAATACATTGAGGTTATCACGAGCAGTATCAAGAAAATAGCAGATTTTCTAAATTCCTTTGGTAAGTAGCTAAGTAGATGGAAGATGACTAGGCTGCGCAGCCGCATCAAAAAGGCTGTCAATGCGAAGCCCTAACCTACTTCAAGGACCGCTGGGCCTGAGCCTTCTTGGCTAACGGTAGCTAGTTTCCATCTAAAACAGAAAGACATGGATAAAGTAATATCAGCTAAAGGACTCTTACTATTATGGAACGTTATAACATGGGCTTAAGATTTATACTTCGACCAATCGATGAAATATTGTAGTTAGCAAGCCAACTAATTAACTAGCTAGCTATCTTCTGATGGCTAAGAGCCAATTTATGCTTGATCTGCTGTATGGATGGTGTGACGCAATTGCGGTTCCTCCGAAAGGCACCGTATAGCTCCGCATTGACATGATTGGTTGACTGTAGGTAGGGGCGGGAGGTCCTGTATAAACACAAACTAACTTCCTTGACAGCTTTCTGAAACGCAAGAAGAATGAATGCCCTGACTTCTGCCGAATCAACGTCAACGTAAATGCTGCACTGCCTTTTAATACCTTGATCACACCCATAGCAGCACCTTTTAATGCCTTGATCACACCCATAGAGAGAGAAATTGCATTTTGGTACACCAGAAGTACATTCATTTCCAATGTAACTTTGCGTTTGCCTTACAGCATTGCAGAGGCAGTTGCAGTGCATACAAGTTGGAGTTATTGAACATATGCGCCAAACTGTATGTGTAGACTGCTTGACAGAAATGGTAGCAGAAGGTGAATGTTGAACTTTTGTTGCACAGGTATCCAGATGATGCTGTGTACCATTTTGCGCAATGAGGCTGTATGTGTGATCGAAGCGTTAAGCTTTGAACACACCGACTGCATCATTGCGCAAAATAGTAGGCAGCATCAACTAGATATGTGTGCAACAAAAGTTCAACATTCATCTTCAGCTACCATTTCTGTCAACCCGTTTTTGCATACAGTTTGACGCACACATCAGATACATCCAACTTATGCACCACACAGAACGCAGTTTCCATTGGAAATGAATGTACTTCTGGTGTACCAAAACCAAATAATACCGTCGGTGTGTTCGAAGCGTAAGGGGTCTACAGACAGTATGCAAGCAGGGCCAACGGAGCAATGCCGTTTTTTGTCACAAAAGGGGCAGTTCGTTGTAATACGCTCCGTCATTCGACAAAGTTTTTACCTACCTGGAAATTAAGACCAGACGTATCATTCCTTGCGAAGACTGAGGGGCACTATTGAGTGTGTTTTGCAACGGAAGTCCCGCCCTTGTGTCTACATAACATATTTTCCGGTATCCTTCTGGTATAAACACAGAAGAGATGGGCATTCTACTACTTCGCTTCTATTACTTGCAAGCTTCCTTTTTTGTGCTTTTTATTTCGAGATTATTGAGAATGTCTTTCCTCATCAATGCTTCGTCTTTATTTCTTCTCCTCCCCCTGAGTAGTAACAGCAGTTCAATCTCTAGCTATTGCAATTCGAAAAGAGACATGTTTGCTTCTGTGGCTAAAAAGTAGTGTCATAAAGCATATAACACCATACTAGCCTGACATGTAGCTAGCATTTGTAAATAATAATACCAGACCCGAAAGCTCAAACATCGTTGCTAGCTGGTCTAAAGAGGGGCCTCTTCCCGTCTTGCTTGGTAAGCTACTCTGGCTCCCCAAGCCCCCTAGTGGATATACACTACACAAGGTGAACTTCCTCTCTGGGTGGAACACAACGAAGAGTCCGCTGCCCCAATAAAAATGACTCCACCCACGTGCACGAAGACCTTAACGTTACTCGTAACTTAGTTAGCTTTTTGATGAGATATTTCACCCAAACGGCAGTGGACTGGACTCGATGCACGTATTTGTTTCTTGGTAAATACATGTAGAAGTAGCTAGTTGTAGTAGAAGTAAACATTTAACATATGATGAAGTGGGTCCACTGATTTAATTTAGGTGTATTATTTTTTTAAACAGTTAGTTAGCTAACTTAAACGTGTAAAGTGTGAACCACTTGCTTTATAGGAGGGGCGTAGCTAGCTTTTATTTACTTGGTAGCTACCTACAGTGCCTCCTTCAGAAAGTATTCACACCCCTTTACTTTTTCCACATTTTGTTGTTACAAAGTGAGATTACAGTTTATATTTTTTGTCAACGATATACACAAAATACGCTCATTTCAAAGTGGAAGAACAATTATAACATTTTGTATTATTCATGGGAATAAAACACTAATATTTTGATTAGATAAGTATTCAACCCCCTGAGTCAATACATGTTAGAATCACCTTTGGCAGTGATTACAGCTGAGTCTTTCTGGGTAAGTCTCTTAAGAGCTTTGCACACCTGGATTGTACAATATTTGCACATTATTCTTTTTTAAATTCTTCAAGCTCTGTCAAGTTGAAGGTTGCTATCACAGCCATTTTCAAGTCTTGCCATTGATTTTCAAGCAGATTTAAATCAAAACTGTTACTCGGCCACTCAGGAACATTCAATGTCGTCTTAGTAAGTAACTCCAGTGTATGTTTGGCCTTGCGTTTTAGGTTATTGTCCTGCAGAAAGATAGATTTGTCTCCCAGTGTCTGTACGAAAGCAGATTGAACCAAGTTTTCCTCTAGGACTTTGCCTGTGCTTAGCTCTATTCATTTTCTTTTTATCTTAAAATACTCCCTAGTCCTTGCCAATGACAACCATACCCATAACATGATCCAACCACTACCATGAAAATATGAAGAGTGGTACTCAGTGATGTGTTGGATTTGCCCCAAACATAATGCTTTGTATTCAGGACAGAAAGTTCATTTCTTTGCCACATTTTTTTTGCAGTATTACTTTAGTGCCTTATTGCAAACAGGATGCATGTTTTGGAATATTTTTATTCTGTACAGACTTCCTTCTTTTCACTCTGTCATTTAGGTTAGTATTGTGGAGTAACTACAATGTTGTTGGTCCATCCTCAGTTTTCTCCTATCTCAGCCATTTAACTTTGTAATGGGTTTAAAATCACCATTGGCCTCATGGTTAAATCCCTGAGCGTTTTCCTTCCTCTTCAGCAACTGAGTTAGGAAGGACGTCTGTATCTTTGTAGTGACTGGGTGTATTGATACATCATCCAAAGTGTAATTAATAACTTCACCATACTCAAAGTGATATTCAATGTCTGCTTTTTTATTTATTCCTATCTACCAATAGTTGCCCTTCTTTGCAAGTAATTGGAAAACCTCCCTGGTCTTTATAGTTGCATCTGTGCTTGAAATTCACTGCTCGACTGAGGGACCTTACATATAATTGTATGTGTGGGGTACAGAGATGGGGTAGTCATTAAAAAAATCATGTTAAACACCATTATTGCACACAGAGTCCATGCAACTTATTATCTGACTTGTTAAGCACATTTTTACTCCTGAAGTTTAGGCTTGCCATAACAAAGGTGTTGAATACTTACTGACTCAAGACATTTCAGCTTGTAATTTTTTATTGATTTGTAAAACTGTCTGAAAACACAAATTCTACGTTGACATTATGGGGTATTGTGTGTAGATCAGTGACACAATCTACATTTAATCCATAAAATTCAGGCTGTAACCCAACAAAATGTGGAAAAAGTATAGGGGTGTGAATACTTTCTGAAGGCACTGTACCTATTGCAGGATTGAACTGTGCAATAGTTGTTAGCCTAACCTATGATATTGATGGGATTTGTTGAAATAAACCATATTCTTCCCCCTTCGAAAGTTATAGTTTGATATGTTATAAATAACTTTGATCATAAAGGAAAATATCTGCACCTTACTGTATATTTACTTTGCTTTAGATATGTCCTGCCGATCTCGTTTGGCCACCCTAAATGAAAAGCTGACAGCGTTAGAGAGGAGAATTGAGTACATTGAAGCAAGGGTAAGTGTCATAGAATTGTCACTATTTCTAGGGTGTAAATAAACGTAATGTTTGCACACCCTAAACAGTACTGGAGGTCATCATACTGTGTTCTCGAAACTTCTCTCTCTGTTTAGGTCACAAAAGGAGAGACCTTGACCTAAACCAAAATGGTATGCTGGACTTGGTGCTGCAGTTTGGCTGAGGATTGAATACAACATTTGTGACCATTTCCATATTTGTCATTTTTATAAGTATGTCTTTTTATTTTTTATTTTTTTTACAGTTTTGTATTTGTTCTGTGGGACCACAAAAAAATAAATTTTCATACTGTGTGTATTTTACGACCATAGCTACTGGAAGGAAGTACCAAAATGAATATTCAGCTCTTTTACTGTGGTCATTATGCTTACCCATCTCTTTCACTTGTGCTTGTAATAATTGTTTTACTTTAGTGTTAACATGTAATAAACTGTTTAAAGGTAAGTTATCCATGTGTTTTTTGGAGAGGGGCTTGGAAGGGTGTTTGGCTCGAAGGAAGCATGCATAAATGCCAGGGTGAAGGTGTTACTGGAATATAATATAGGCTATGTGTGGTGTCAAGACCAGCTTGTATTTGCTCATAGTGAGTCCATACACACATCTGCCAATATAGCCTCTGGTTGCTGCCCTCAGCCATACATCTGTGTTCTGCTCTCCATGCCAAAAGAACGGATCAACAAACCTCTCTAATGGTCAAAATTAGTTTACTTTCTACTGAGCACTACATTACATGATGTAAATACAAACATGAATTGTGTTATCAGCTAGTAATTTTGCACTCGTAGAACTTAACAGCTAGAGGTCCGTGTATGGAGGTAATTATTGCACCCACCTGGTGTCCCAGCTCTACCAGTCAGTGATGGGAAGAATGGAAATATTTGTTTCTTTCTTTTCATATACTAACTGTCCACCAGACTACAGAAACTATAGCAATGGAACTGAAGTAACGGAATAACAATACCTATAACATTAGCAATGGGAATATGGCATGAGAGATAGAAAAAGTCATTGGCTGCTTAGATTTCATTTTTATTTTTTCCTTTAAAAACCCCAAAAACAATAAAGAAGTGGAACTCTTAAAAAGAGTGGAACCCTCACTCTCCTAATATAAAGTTGAACCCTCTCCACCCCATCCCCTCCCTTTTTTCTCTCCTCTCTCACCTTTCCCTAAAAAAAGTATCTCCTTTCTCTTCTCCTGAAAAGTAAAAAATAGTGTATGTGGATGGATGTTAGACCTACCCCCTATGCACTTGTGGAGATGTTGGGATAGGCGCAATATTAGATAATGGCTGATACAACCCTAACCCTTGTTTGATTGGTTAGTGTGTAGTCTAGATGTGTTTTATCTGCTGTGTTTAGTGTGGTGTTTTGTATGTTAGGGTGTGTGTGTGTGTGTGTGTTATCTCCCACTGATGTTTTTTTCTTTTTCTTGTATCTGGGTTTTTGTGCTTTTTCTCTTCGGCCTCCTGTTCTGTGAGAGACACACCACAAATACAATAGGATTTTGAGAAAGAGTTTTCTTTGTCAGAGGCCATATTGTCGAATGGAAATGTTAAATGTACCATAGATGATCATAGAAAACAATCTTTATTTTGATAGTATTCTGGAATAATCATTGTCTACAGTATGGGCTGGTTTCCCGGACTCAGATTACACCTTGTCCTGGACAAAAAAAAGCATGCTCAATATAAATTAAATATAAAATAGTTTATTTGTCCAGGACTAGGCTTAAGACAGGAGAGGAAGTGGGTGAGATGGAATATACAGTATTTAGCTTAGCTACAAGCACGCTAGGGGGTGCGGGGAGGGGCTAGGGGTAGGCACGCCCAGGGGTCCTCAGCTGCAGTCCAGGATCAGCAACACGTCCAAGTAGGCTTGGGCCAGGCACGTCCCGGGAGTTATTAGACGTAGAAAAGGACAAAAGAAGGGGGTTAGTGGGAGCATGCTTAGGTACAGTGCATTCGGAAAGTATTCAGACCCCTTGACGTTTTCTACATTTTGTTTTCTAAAATGGATTAAATAATTCTCTCCCCCTCAATCTACACACAATAGCCCATAATGACAAAGCGAAAACAGGTTTTTAGAAATCTTTGCAAATGTATTAAAAATAAAAAACAAATACCTTATTTAGTATTCAGACCCTTTGCTATGAGACTCGAAATTGAGCTCAGGTGCATCCTGTTTCCATTGATCATCCTTGAGATGTTTCTACAACTTGATTGGAGTCCACCTGTGGTAAATTCAATTGATTGGACATGATTTGGAAAGGCACACACACCTGTCTATTTAAGGTCCCAGAGTTGACAGTGCATGTCAGAGCAAAAACCAAGCCATGAGGTTGAAGGAATTGTCCGTTGAGCTCCGAGACTGGATTGTGTCAAGGCACAGATCTGGGGATGGGTACCAAAAAATGTCTGCAGCATTGAAGGTCCCCAAGAACACAGTGGCCTCCATCATTCTTAAATGGAAGAAGTTTGGAACCACCAAGACTCCTCCTACAGCTGACCACCCGGCCAAACTGACCAATCGGGGGAGAAGGGCCTTGGTCAGGGAGGTGACCAAGAACTCGATGGTCACTCTGACAGAGCCCCAGAGTTCCTCTGTGGAGATGGGAGAACCTTCCAGACGGACAACCATCTCTGCAGCACTCCACCAATCAGGCCTTTATAGTAGAGTGGCCAGACGGAAGCCACTCCTCAGTAAAAGGCACATGACAGCCCACTTGGAGTTTGCCAAAAGGCACCTAAAAGACTCTCAGATCATGAGAAACAAGATTCTCTGGTCTGATGAAACCAAAATTGAACTCTTTGGCCTGAATGCCAAGCGTCACGTCTGGAGGAAACCTGGCACCATCCCTATGTTGAAGCATGGTGGTGGCAGCATCATGCTGTTGGGATGTTTTTCAGTGGCAGGGACTGGGAGACTAGTCAGGATTGAGGTAAAGATGAACAGAGCAAAGTACAGAGAGATCCTTGATGAAAACCTGCTCCAGAGCGCTCAGGACCTCAGACTGGGGCAAAGGTTCACCCTCCAACAGCACAACGACCCTAAGCACACAGCCAAGACAATGCAGGAGTGGCTTCGGGACAAGTCTCTGAATGTCCTTGAGTGGGCCAGCCAGAGCACGAACTTGAACCTGATCGAACATCTCTGGAGAGGCCTGAAAATAAAGCAGGAAGTACAAGTGACTCGCTCAATACAGAAGTGGTCAGATGACACAGATGCTAAGCTACAGGAATGACTTCTATGCTCGCTTCGAGGCAAGCAACACTGAAGCATGCATGAGAGCATCAGCTGTTCTGGATGACTGTGTGATCACGCTCTCCATAGCCGATGTGAGTAAGACCTTTAAACAGGTCAACATTCATAAGGCCGCAGGGCCAGACGGATTACTAGTATGTGTACTCCGAGCATGGCCTGACCAACTGGCAAGTGTCTTCACTGACATTTTCAACCTGCCCCTGACTGAGTCTGTAATACCATAGTCCCTGTGCCCAAGAACACTAAGGTAACCTGCCTAAATGACTACCGACCTGTAGCACTCATGTCTGTAGCCATGAAAGGCTGGTTAAGGGCTTGTAAGTAAGCATTTCACTGTAAGATGTAGACCTGTTGTATTCAGCACGTGACAAATAAAATGTGATTTGATTTGAAAATAGCTGTGCAGCGACGCTCCCCATCCAACCTGACAGAGCTTGAGAGGATCTGCAGAGAAGAATGGGAGAAACTCAAGGCTGTAATCGCTGCCAAAAGTGCTTCAACAAAGTACAGAGTAAAGGGTTTGAATACTTATGTAAATGTGATATTTCAGTTTTATATTTTAATAATTTTCTACACATTTCTAAAAACCTGTTTTCGATTAGTCATTATGGGGTACTGTGTGAAGAGAGGGGAAAAAACAATTTAATCCATTTTAGAATAAGGCTGTAACGTAACAAAATGTGGAAAAAGTAAAGGGGTCTGAATACTTTCCGAATGCACTGTACATCAGATAAGACAAGCTGACAATGGCCCCTAGGCAAATAAAAACGATTGCAGCATAAACACTGGAGACTGGGACAGGGGGATCGAAAGACAATGTGGCCCCGTCAAAAGCCACCAGAGTGCAACAAGCCAGGGACTCAGCCATCGTAATAGTCGTGGTATGGAATCCCAGTTGAGAGTGGGAATTAGGGAACTAGCGTCCTGTCCAGGGGGTATAGGCCACTTGTACATCAAGCTTCCTTATGTGACAGAAACAGGAGATAGGCTTATGCCCATATAGGCCGTTCATGCTCAAAGAAGGATTATTTGTCCAAGGCTTAGCTACGTAACGTTACTTACTTGAATTTACAAGACTGAAACCAAGTCTGATTCTCTCACATAAAAGAGGAGCTCTGTAGGAGAAAGCCCTGTAGCCATCTGTTTTCATAGATATTGGGGGAACAAGGAGTCCTGCATCTTGTGGTTCTCTTCTGCTGTCCCTTTCGAACACATACCCTTTTCAACCTCTCACCTTCTCTCATCTCTCCCTTCCTGACAGACATCCCCTCCTCCCAATATCAGTAAATCATAATCACCTTTATTGTGCATCGTTGTAAACATCAACGTTAGCTAACTTACCATTTGTTTCCCTCTTCTTATCACTCGCATGTTTATCCTTGCCCTGATGGCAGGCATGGGTTCCATCATAGGGAACATATTTGAGTTCCCAATGCAAGTTTCTTTCACGATGCGAGATCTGAGAAGTTAAACAAATGACACAAGTTAGAATAGCAGTTCTCTATAGCTAGCTTGACGGATAATCTAACATCGATTAATAACACACACGTAGGCCGTCATTGTAAATAAGAATTTGTTCTTAACTGACTTGCCTAGTTAAAATAAAAAATAAAAATGTCTACTTAGCTGTCTCCCAGAAGAAAAGTGCTAAAAATAGCCCACGTTAACATATGTAGCTTAAGAAACAAGGTTCACAAAATCAATAATTTGCTAGTAACAGAAGACATTCATATTCTGACTATCTCTGAAACTCACTTAGATAATACCTTTGATGATACAGTGGTAGCAATACAAGGTTATAACATTTACAGAAAATATAGAAATGCCAATGGTGGAGGAGTTGCTGTTTATATTCAGAACC